GTTAAGTTTAAGGTCAGGTCTACGGTTACGATCAGGATTATCTTAAGGGGTAAGGATTAGGCTCGCGTTAGCTGTAGGGTAGTGATAGGGTTATGGTGGGTGAATATTTACCCCTTCTGAAATTTGTCCCGAGATCACGCGTTTTAAGTGGGCGAGACATTTCTATTCCGGTGTTCTTTTTAGGCAGCCATACAAGTCATTCTTATCAAATTCAGTCTCTGTGAAATACAGGAACGCTTCTTCTTATTATTGGCATTTAACAAAATTTCTAGAAAAGAAGAGAGAACTTGAACAAGAAATCCATAGACTACATAATTCTGTCGAAGACGAGGATTCGTTCAAAGGAACCAGTCTACCTGTAGGTCCTTCGGCGAGGAACTCGGCCATATTTTTGCGTGCTGACCTTTAACCTTTCTGTAGATTCCGTTCAAGTGCAAAATGTGAGGGAAGACAACATGCTAATACCTATACTGGGGCATTTGCTAACTAAATTCAGGACACCAAAGAAGCATATGCTCATCTACCTGTGTGATTAGATCGATCTCGCACATTTCGAACTGGTTGTTTGCCCTTCTTAATCAGGGATTGCGGTAGGAAACGGGAACAGATACCCGCCACTTTGGACCGGTGGTCTTGCAGTAAATTCTCGAGGCACCTATTCCCGTGCTAGCCCTAACCAAGTCTAAAATCCGGAAGTAGAATATGCGATCGCTAGAACCCTAAGTTTATTTGCCTGACGTTTTGGATTCTGCCAAGGACCCTTCATTAAAGGTAACTGTAGAATAGGCTGAAGCATGTGCCCAACAAAGCTCTGCAATTTAACGCAGTAGTACGGAGGGATACACATTCCCGGGTCTTTTTAAGATTAATACTACTGCTATCTTCCAGACTGCTTAAGTCGAAGTAATAGTAGTGAAAGTGGGTAGACGAAACAACTACCCGAAAAGTCAGGAGCTTCAGTCGGCTTCGATCATCATGTTTTTCAACATAAAGATGCGGAAAATTGAACGGAACGACAATTGCAAAAAGGGCTCATGATGAATATTTGGGTGTGAATTGCCAGCAGTTGGGTCAATATGTAAAAGTGGGGTGGGATGTGCTTTGCTGGGATACGTTTCATTGTTCTTTTTCTTAGCATCCACACCCAGCCCTTCGATAGCTTCCAGTCGCGAACCCATCTTTCTATGCTCCTTATCCCACCAACTAAACTATCAAAGGGTCTGACACTCTGGATTAGAGGGCCGCCTGAACGCCGGCCATAAAATGCGGTATCATGGCCCCCGTTGCCACTGCCTCAACAACGG